CCGGTTTATGTGTAGTTTCTGTCCCTAAACCAAGTGTTACAATTTTGCAGATTGCATTGATTATAAGAAATCATACTCTATTTCATATCTGCCCTTATTAAATTATTTCTTTACTTCAAATACTTCCCCTTGGCAAGTCTAGTCACAGTCTTCATGGACTTTTCCCAGTCTTTCAGGATGTTCATGTGATGATATTTGTTGGATTTGGTTTCCTGATGACCTTCCTGAAGAAATATGGATTCACCAGTGTTGGAATCAACATGCTCATTGCTGCTCTTGGTATCCAGTGGGGCACCCTCATGCAAGGGTTTTGTCATATGAAAGCAAGGAAAATTCAGATTACTGTTAAAAGGTAGGTATAACTTTCTACCAAGCTAAATACTTCTCCCACTAAAAGCAATGGCAACATGTTCCCTGACTACAGGCTCAGCCTCTTTAAGTGCATTAACATTGATGGAAGTCTTTTCATTGACTACTATAGGGTTTTTGATCTCCAGGCCTATAAAAGGTACACCACTGTGGGTGAACCTACATGCGTGCTTTATTACAGCTGACTAATTAGCTCCACAGTAAAGCGTCACAGTCTACACGTGTGCCAGTATTAGGGCTCAGTAAATTAATTAACTCTACCTTAGGATAGTACTGTTGGGGACAACAGAATCCTATAGCAGAGTAATTTACTCCACTGAAATGCACGTGTAGATGGTGACAGAGGCTGGCTGGGGCATGAGGGTGCTAAAGTGCAGGGGGCTGTCTGCCATCTACCCTGACACTTGAGCACCCTCATGCCCCATCCAGCCCCTCTGCTGCCTGACGCCGTCACCCAGAGCCCAGGGCTGACCCCACCCCACCAGGCCCTGCCAGCCCAGGGATGCTCCATCGGTGCTCAAACTGCTGTAGTCCCAGGCACACAGGTAGACAGTATGCCCGGGAACAGCTTACTCCAGTGCAAACTGTGCCAGAATTTATCACGTCGCCTTAATGACATGTGGAGATGCACTACAGTGATGATTCATAATAAATGTTTATTATGCAAATGAGTCCTCCCAATACAGTATTTGCCAGAATATCTTAACCCAGCCCAGGCATAGCCAGCTGACAGATTGTGCATCTGACACACTGTTTTCTGTTGTTTGTTATACCTTACTGAAAAACCCAATAGAGGGCATAAAGACTAACTGCCTTACAATCAGCTCCCTGACAGAGACTTCACTAGAAGCTTTCTTGCATAAGTGAGGGCTCTCAGTCAGGTATGAGTTAACATATTTTCCCAGTTCCCATATTAACCGTACCTAGCACCTGCCCACAAAAACATCACTGATGCACATAAGCAGGAAAGCACCGAGAATTTCCCAACCGAGCTACACCCTGTGACCTGAGAAGAGCCATTGAATAGAGCAGGGCTGGGGCAGGAAGGGAAGGGAAAGCCAGAAGGAAGGGGATCCTGGAGCCCCTGGATCCTGCTGCAGCCAGAGCAACAGGGGGAGTGACAGCCTGTTGGGAACCCCAGTTAACCCCTTGTAGGTTGCATACAACCCATGGGCCACCAGTTAGGCAGCCCCAGAGCAGAACAAGGGGTTTGCCTCCCCTTAAATTGCCTGTTAGTGTATGGGAGCATCTGTCTATGGTTCAGAAGTCTGAGTGTGATTTGTTCTGGACCTGAGCCAAGGGCTCCCTCCATTAATACCAGCGGTCAATGGGTAGCTGGTCCTGTAGGCTGTGGAGTCAAATTTAGCTTGAGGACATGTTTCTTGTAAACCCTACTGATATTAAACCTATTAGATAGGCTTCTTTTTTGACACTTCCCATGGAAATGTCAGCACTACAAATACAAGACACATTTTCTTGATGTTCTCAGTAGCCTACTGCCATCTCCCTTATTCAGTTTTCATCCAGCGTGGCAAGGACGGGGTCTGTGCGGGTATGGTGGTAACCTTCCAAAGGACCCTCTCTGTGATCTAGACCAAGTCATGGACCCCACACTGCAAAGAGCCTCCTGAGGAGGGATTTGTTATTGTTGTTAAGCACAATATAGGACTCTAACATGCTTCTTTTTAAGTCCTCAAGTGTTATGGTGTTATGGATGACATTATTTTTTACATGTTTGTGTTCCATTTCATTTCTGGTCATGCTCAACTGATTTTCATTTATGCAATGTTTGTCTGTTTTGGTGTCTGTTTCTTCCCATCTCCTTAAACCCAGCATGATCAATGCAGACTTCAGCACGGCAACTGTCTTGATTTCATTTGGAGCTCTCCTGGGGAAAACAAGCCCAGTCCAAATGATGATCCTGACGATTATGGAGATCACATTCTTTTCATGCAATGAGTACCTCGTTGTGGATGTCCTCAAAGTAGGTACCATGCTTTTATTTTTAATAAGTAAGGGGAAAGGCTAAATCTCCTGTAGGTAAAGCAAACACCTCTCTGCTCTGCCAAGGTGCACTTCAAGCCTTTGCTTTTGTTTTTCAATTGCCCGACTTGCTTCCGCTGTCTAGCCATCTCATTGCTTAGCTTCAGCATTAAAATGCTACTTCTCTGTGACACAACTTCCTGTCTCCCTCACTCACTTGCCTATTCCTCTTTCTCTCTACTTGCTAATTCCAGGTGTTGGCATAATTTGTGACTGCCAACCACCTGAAAGTCTTCTTGTGAAGTCCATCTTGTGGCATAAAGTGTGACTGTAATATTTTTTATGAGATGGACTAATATCTTTCAAAATGAGCAGTAAAGGATAGTTAACTTCTAGATCTATTGGTCTGAGAAAACCTACAGTGAGAAAGTACTGGCACCATTTAAATCTTGAGAAAGAGCTTCATGCTCAGTGTGAAACTAGCTCTCTAGGAGAATGAGAAGCAGGAGCAAGCCACTGGAGGTCTCCTTCATTATTTATATACTGTAGGCCCTACTTTAGATCCCAAGATCAGGACTCTTAAACCTAAACTAACATTTTCCTCCTGTATCATTCTTGTCTGTCTATCTGTGCAGAATTACCAGTAGGACAGTGCAGTGGTTGGGGACAGTTAACAAACAATTCTCACTTCTTAACATATATCAAACTTTCCCCACCCCCCCCCAGAGATTCACTTGAGCAACAAAACATCCATCCAGAACTAACTTCCTAACACCCCACTATTCAAAAGTGTGCAAATTTGAGTTTTTGATAAAAGAGGATTCACCCACAAAATTGAAACTAAGCTTTTGAACTCTTCCAAGGTTTTAGGATGCTACACCCACAAGTTTTGATTTGTACCCCCTCTGAATAAAAGAATGGAAGTGTTAAGGGCCAGGCATCTACTGGTCTTAGGCACCTAGGTGTGATCTTAGTCCACTCTGCTTAAGTCCCTGAACAAACATTAATTGACCTACTTTTGTAAAAAGTCATAATTTTAGCTATAAGAATAAACCACAAAAAAGAGCAAGCAGAAGGAAGCGTTATGTTTTTGAAGGAACTCTAGTAGGGTGGAATTGGGTCTGGACATAACACTTTTAAGAACTGTTAAAGGATCATCTAAAAAGTACTCTGTATAACTAGTAAAGAATAACTCATGATAACCATTGTGTCTTTACTGTGGTACATCTTCGTTCTGTAGTGCTTTCAGCTGCTAACTCCTAGTCTCTACCAAGGAAAGTCAATTGACAAACCAATCCAAACTCTTCCTGTCTTAAATCCTGTCTTCTCCATTACCACAATATGGGCCACAACAGTGATAGGGTTTATATTCTTTCCCCTATTGTAGGCCACAGATATTGGAGCATCAATGACTATTCATGCTTTTGGAGCTTACTTTGGTCTGGCTGCAGCCCGAGTCTTGTATCGCCCTGGTTTGAAAAAAGGTCATGAAAATGAAGAGTCTTCCTATCACTCAGACATGTTTGCTATGATCGGTAAGTAAGAGGCAGTTGTTGTAAAAATAATGGCGAGTACTACTCAGTTGTGCCCTTTCTCATCCACTACATATGGTACTCACCTTGCTATGCTACAACTTTTTGCTCATGATCCTTGCAAGGAGTTACTTTTTTTCTGCCACTGCTGTTGTGTTTTCAAAACAACCCAAAATTGATAACTGCTTAAAGCAAAAAAGGGAGACAAAAGAGAGACAAATTCCAATGGGAGAGAGAGATTCAACAAAGCATTTATTTAAAAGAAATTACTATCATTTTCTTATTGGAAAATCTTTAACCACCTCTAGTTAATGAGTCAAATCTCCCAAACCTTCCTGTTAGGTAAGTGATCAGTATATCCCATTTGAAAAAAAATTAAGACATAAAGGACTTATAGGTATGATTCTTCTACCTTTCCTTACATTGAGGAGTTTTAGCTTGCAAGAATCCCAAAGGACCTACCCCATGAGTAAGGTATTATTTACGGCAAAATCTTTTCCTCAGTGACTTGACAATGGCCATAGAACAAGTCTTCGGGTGAACCCAGACAGACCAGGACTAATTACTACACTTATGTTTCTCTTTGTCAGTCTCCTTGAATACTGCCTTACATAGGGAGGGAGAGAAAGAAGCTCAAAAGTGCCAGGGGTCTAATGTCTAGTGTAACACACTCTTGTGTAGTATTCCATCACTTTTCCAAGCATTTGATCACTTGTCAGGCATATCGCCCTCCTTCTGCCATTGGGAAGCTATTTGTGCTTTGCTGGATCTCTGTCATTCAAAACCCTCCAGTAATGAAATGATTCTTTGTATTCCTACAGGCACTCTTTTCCTCTGGCTGTTCTGGCCCAGTTTCAACTCTGCCATTGCAGTACCTGGGGACCCTCAATACAGAGCAATAGTCAATACTTACTTCTCTCTAGCTGCATGTACGGTCGCAGCATTTGCCTTCTCCAGCTTCACTGACCATAGAGGCAAGTTTGCTATGGTAAGATAATTGTTTCTGCCATTGAACCTAGCATGGAATTGCAAAGAGTCACCAGTTTTTAAAGGTATTGAGAAAATACCTACCCTCAAAGGAGTGGTTTCTAAAAACTTAGGACCCTACTTAACCATATACTGAGACTATCCTACTGTTTTATTGTGAATCCATGGATTGACATATCTAGTCCTGGCTGCAGCAGTTACTGGGTAGGAGGATCAAAAGCATGTCTCTAAGGGGATTAATTCCTGACTTTCTCAATAGCACATCCATTTCTGTGGGACACATTTAAATGAATTAATACATCTTTTACAATGTGATGACAAAGAAGGTGCATGCAGTAAGTCACACTGGGCATTTTTACACATGAAAGTGCCGCAGCACCGGGCACTTTGAAAAGCACTCGGTGCTGCCGCACTGCCAGTTGTATAAGTGGTGAAATGCACATCAGCGCACAGAAAATAGCAGGAGTCCACTTTTCAACTCAAACGCATAGAAGGTATTTGAATTCAAAAGTTCACTGCTGCCATTTTCTCCGTGCTAACGTGCATTTTGCCACTTCTACAACCGCAAGCGATGCAGCTCCATGTGTGTCAGCTCATATGCGGAGCAGACTCGCTTATAGTTTCATAGTTTCATACTTCGTCGGGTCAGAAGAGACCTGAGCAGATCATCA